AGTGAGCCCCCCTGCTTCGACCCCCGTGCTTTTAAAAGCAGATGCAAAGAAGTAAAAGGATTTGTTGCATAACCTGAATGGTAACGGAGTCCGAAAGGCTGCCCGGTAAAAACCATCCTGAGTCTCCTTCCCATTTGGTTTATGCAGGTGAAGGCTCTGGGGGAAGCTCTGTAACGGAGGAGCCCCAGAGGACGCCCCCGGCCATTAGCCATGGCCGTACCCATTGCAGTTCTTGACTGCGACCTCCTGCTCTATGGCCGCGGACACAGGACTTTGGATCGCTTCAAGCTGGAGGATGTCACGGATGAGTATCTAGTATCCACGTACGGCTTTCCCCGACAGTTCATTTACTACCTGGTGGATCTCCTGGGAGCCAGTCTCTCTCGCCCTACGCAGCGGTCCAGGGCCATCAGTCCGGAGACGCAGATACTTGCTGCACTGGGTTTCTATACCTCCGGCTCCTTCCAGACTCGCATGGGGGATGCTATTGGCATCAGTCAAGCCTCCATGAGCCGCTGCGTTGCCAATGTAACCGAGGCATTGGTGGAAAGAGCATCACAGTTTATTCACTTTCCTGAGGATGAAGCTACCGTTCAGAGCCTGAAGGATGACTTTTATGGGCTGGCAGGCATGCCGGGAGTGCTGGGGGTGGTTGACTGCACCCATGTGGCAATCAAAGCGCCAAATGCTGAGGACCTGTCCTACGTGAACCGAAAGGGTCTCCATTCTCTGAACTGCCTGATGGTGTGTGATGCCAGAGGAGTCCTCCTGAGCGCAGAAACGCACTGGCCAGGCAGCCTACCCGACTGCACGGTGTTACAGCAAGCAGCCCTTACAAGCCAATTTGAAACCGAGCTACATAAAGACGGCTGGCTACTTGGTAAGTCAATTTTTCATCGTTGTTTCCTGTGGAAGGTCTATTATATGTTCGCTCCTCTTTAAGTCTAGAGCCTCTGGGCGCAAGTGATACATTTACTGCTGATTGCTTTCCTGCAGATTCCTTGAGCGTTGCAATTCAGTTTGGACGATCCTTCTCTCAGAAGTCTAGAACAGAAACTTCCCATCTGTGTTTCATGCACTCTAGTTATTGTATATATGAGCTTACATTAATTCTGTTAAGACCTTGTTTTCAGTATCCTACACCTTTCTAAGCTGAATTATGCAATTTTTAATCCTATGTAGGGTTCTAGTCCAGCTGTCTTTCATTGTATTATGTAGTAAATGAATTCTCTTAAAACGCCTCCATGTTCTTCCAGGATTTCCCTGGGTGAAACAGAATGTCTTTATTTTGTTGTTTGTCACATTTGTAAACTTGCATTACGTGTTTTCTCATGCCTTCTGTTTTAGCCATAGAAATAAGTTATTCTGTATCTGCAGTACCAGAAAACCGAAGGTGAAGAGCTGCAATCTGTGGTTAACTGTAGGTATGTAACCTGTCCTCCTCCTTTTCACTGCTAACAGGTGACAGCTCCTTCTTTCTCCGCACGTGGTTGATGACCCCTCTGCATATCCCCGAGACACCTGCAGAATATCGTTATAACATGGCGCATTCTGCCACTCACAATGTCATTGAGCGGACGTTCAGAACCATTCGGTCGCGTTTCCGCTGCCTGGATGGGTCCAAAGGCACCCTGCAGTATTCTCCAGAGAAATCCAGCCACATCATTCTGGCCTGCTGTGTGCTCCATAACATCTCCCTGAAACACGGGCTGGATGTGTGGTCTTCCCCAGCCACAGGACACATGGAACAACCGGAAGAAGAGTATGAGCAAATGGAATCAATGGACTCAGAAGCCTGTCGTATTCGTCAGGAGCTTTTACTTACTCATTTTAGCTAATGTTGTGACAGAGGGAAGGCTTCTAATGGTTCATCTGGGAAGATATACACAAGAAATATGCCACTTCCTCTTTTTAAGTTTGAAAGGACTAAGCAGATGTGAGATGAGGAGAAATTTTACTCTCTTCATTTCAGGCAGTATTCTGAATTTCTCCCGATCTCTCCAGAGATGCAATTTAATTGCTAAATTTTTACTGTTGTGATGCTTATAGACTCCCCTTTCATCTGATTTAGAGAACAATGACTAATGTGAGATCAGTGGAGAAACTTGGGAAATTGTCTTTGATAATTATGAAAAATCTGTAAGCCTCGCACTGTTACACAAAGCAATAATTCTATGCCACTTTGTAACTGAAAACATTTAGGATTGATTTTTAAACAGTATTTCACATAAATTAAACTTCCACGTGGACTTATGTCTACTCTGAATTCATGAGCAGCAAAGCAAACATTTATCTTTTCGTTTGCAGGTATAAATTCTTGCTAAATACTATTTGCAGTTTTGCACGTCTTGCAAAACCCAGCAATTCCTCTGAAAGCTGACAGCTGTGTTCTGGGAGGAGTCCGGCTTTTTGCTGGCTACACACTAGTGCTTGCACATATCTAGAAGGTCAAGAAGGGTTGAACATTTCTTCTTTCCCAAACAGACTGGAGATGTTAAGCTATGGTTGACTTTGTCAGTTACTTAACAGTGAATGTCAGTCTAGTTCTCACTAGGTATGTCTGCCACAACAGAAACTGTCCATAACTACTGATCTTGTTGGCTGCTGTAAAAGAAATGCCAAGGACTGGCTGGGTCACAAAAAATTGAACTGATTGCAAAAGTTCTTCATTTATATCAGAACTGAGGTACAGAAAGGCTGCTCTACCACTGCTGGCAATCTACCTGTTTGGTGGAAAAAGATGACTAATGCACGCAGTTGTTGCTGGCACAGGACCAGAAAGTTTCCTGGCAATGTTCTCTTTCCAAAAGATGCAAGTGTTTCCAAGGATCTCTTGACAGCAGTCTGAGAAAATTTTGTTTCTTAGATTTTTATTGTTTACTGGGCAGTAAATGAAACAAAAGTGGTAGGGAATGCAGAATGCTGCAAAAATGTAGCTGCTTAAAGTAGCAGTGCAATCATCTGGCACGGCAGGTCTGTATTCTTTTAGGGGAAATGAGCCTGGATCATTCCCCACAACTGAAGAATAAGAAAGTGTGGGACACGTTCCTACGTGTAGGATGGAGATGCAGGATTAGGTATAGTTCTGTCAGGTTTGCAATGGCATTAAGCAGTTACTATCTTACAGAAAACCAAGCATGCTTTATGATGTGTTAGCAGCATGTTTTCATAAGCCTTGATGAGAACTGTTACATAATACATACAACAATCTGAGATAGAATTCTACTTTCTTTACATATCTTCCCATGAAGTATCATGTAGGAACTACTATTGCTCACTGTGGCAAAAACCCTGCTCCTTTTACCTAGGAAGAAGCAGACAAGCATTGTTTTCTAAACCAAAGCATGTTTAAGGTAAGAGTTGCTGCTGTACGTGGTGCCTGATGGCTCATAATCATATCTGACAGACTATGCTAAAAATACTGATCTTTAGACCTGAACGAGCTGCATGGGTGACGCTAAGGTCAAATGAGACTTGGACATGTGTAGGTACAAACACTGTCATGTAATAACGAGCTGGAGTTTCTCAACTAATGCTATGAATAGCTCTTCTCGGCGTGTGCTGAGACCAGAGCGAACTCAAAGTGGAGGCTTTTCCTGGAACACATTTGCTGCTGGGTTTTGTCTTCCTTCAGCCACTGTCACCTTTGGTAGAGTTTAATTTCGAAACTGATCTCACTGCTTATCAGTTTGGGCAAAACCTGCATCAGGCTGCACCAGACGAGACCAATCCACTCAACAAAACTACTGTTCTTCCTTGAGTCAGATGTCAATACCCTTTGGTTCATCTGCAAAATGGAACTTTCTCATCTAGAGATGAGTTTGCCCCATGTACTCCTAACCAACTTCTTTCAAGAAGATCCGTCTAGACTTTTCTCTTTTCCCTCGGGTTTAGACAATATTTAAATTTGACAACTTGAGATTCATGTTTCTTTTTTGCTTTCCGCCTCCTCTGTACTTTTCACCTCATCTCGCCAGCTGCATTCTGGAACACTTACAAATTTGTGCATTGTCAGAGCTTTGAAAAGTAAGGTCTACCCTGACCATCCACGGAGGATGACAGTGACTGGCTGTTCCAAGTATTGCAGTTTTCACTACTTGACCAAGTTCCTTGTAAAATCCCATCACCAGCCCTTTTCAGTTTTCCTTTAAAGTACCTCCTTGAAGAGTATGCTGCAGGCTGCCTTTGCTCCCTCCATTCCTGTGTATTACAGCAAACCTCAAGCCCTAAACTTCGCCTGCCCAGGCCTTTTGACTCTTTTCCCCTTTTCTGACTTACTGGTGCAAAGCACCCTGGCTTGCTTAGATTTTCCTTCCAAAAAACAAGTCCCTCCCAAGGCTCTCACTTCTGCAGTATAGACAAGGCAGGAATATACAGCAACTTGTACTGTTGTCTCCCTCGGGCTTCTCATTGTGCGGTGCCCCTCTTCCAAAGGGGCTACATGTGCATTTTGTGTCTTCGCCACCTGTGATGTGGGAGAGCAATACAGAGCAATAAATACTAAAACTCTGCTGTTTCAGGAAAAGAACCTTTTCAGTTACCTCTCATCTGATAACCTGTATCTTTTTCTCTCTAAACGCGTTTCACTGATACCATATCTCTTTTCTTGCCTGTTTTTAATTATGTTTTTTCCACTCTGTCA